AGAGATCTTGAAACATTCTTTGTGATGATGAATGCCGTACCATTCCTCTTCTATTTGCCATTCCCGGCATATATGTTCATACGATTGTCTGATTCAAAATGGCCTAAGCCAGTCCTTTTCAGCTCACTAATGCCTAAGATATCCATCTTTATGTGTTCTATTTCATTTTTAACAATTTCCAATTTTCCTGCATTCATACTTTGTACATTCCATGTTCTGATTATTAATGGATGTTTGCAGCTTTTTCTTCCCATTTTGAGTTGTACCACATTAGCAAATGGAGCTCCTGAAAGCTTTAATCCATCCACATCATTAAGGTAGACTCTACCCAGAGGGGCAGCTCTTCCCCAGTCGTATTTTGAGTGCCTTCCAACCTGAGGGGCTCATCTTCTGGCACTATAATGGACAATGTTTTGGGCTATTCATAAAATTTTCCAGTAATATAGCAGACTGTGTTTCAATGCTATTCAGAAGGTTTTTACTGGCCAAGTCCTTAAGAAGTGGATTGCCCCTTCCTCTTCTGACTCTATCTTAGTCTGGAAGCTTCACTGAAACCTGCCCACCATGGGTGACTCTGCTGGTATTTGAAATACTGCTGGCATAGCCTCCAGCCTCACAGCAACATGGAAGCCACCACAGTGTGACAAACTGACAGACGAATGGTGGATAAAATCCACTAGGAAGTAACCTCTTATACCTTAAGATGCCTTGTGTACTTTAAGGCTATTTTAAAAAGAGCCTACATTTGGCCTGCATCCAAGATCTTCAGTCTCATCTATCATGAGTGTGACAAGGGACTATGAGCCTCAGTGTTGGCTGCCCTGTACAACTGGTTGTGCACAATTGGGAGTTGTTTCTCCATGTAGGGATTTATGGCATCAGGTGCTTAGATTTGTTTTTCTTGCATTTGCTTTGTTTTCAATTTTTAAAGAATGCATGTTGCTACCTGTAGGTGCCCTTCTGCTAGCCAACCTTTCCATTCTAGGGAAACAAGACTCCCTGGATTTGACAGAGAATATTTTTTGTCTCCATGCTTTTGCCTTTCGTAGAGGTTTCATATAAGTGCGTTCATACAGTATTTGTGTCTGACTTATCTCATTCAACCTCATGTTTTCATGTTTCATTCATGTTGTGGCATGTATCAGAACTTCATGTCTCTTTAGGGCTGAGTAGTAGTCTGTTATTGGAGGTCTCACATTGATCCATCATCTGCTGATGGACAATTGGGCTGTTTCCACCTTCTGGATGTTGTTCAATGAAGTCCTTTGTTCTTCATTGAACATCGGTGCTTCCAAGTCTTCTGGATACATGGCCAGGAGTGGAACTGCTGGGTCACATGTTTATTCTACGTTTGACTTTTTGAGGATCCACCACAGTTTTCCACAGCAGCTGGACCAATCCCCACCAGCAAAGCATGAAGGGTCTAGTTTCTCCACATCTCACCAACACTTGTTGTTTTTGATCTTTTGGTAGTAACCCTCCTAAGGGTGTGAAGCGGAGTCAGCATGAAGCAGTGTCAGTGTGAACTGCTGTGAAGTGGTGTCATTGTGAAGTAGTATCAGTATGAGTGGTATCAGTGTGAAGTGCCATCAGTGTGACGTGCCATCAGTGTGAAGCGGCATCAATGTGAAGTGCTGTTAGTGTGAAGTGCCATCAGTGTGAAGCGGCATCAGTGTGAAGTGCCGTTAGTGTGACGTGCCATCAGTATGAAGCAGTGTCAGTGTGAAGTGGCGTCAGTGGGAAGTGCCGTCAGTGGGAAGTGCCGTTAGTGTGAAGTGCCGTCAGTGTGAAGTGCTGTTAGTGTGAAGCGGCATCAGTATGAAGTGGAATCAGTGTGAAGTGGAATCAGTGTGAAGTGCCGTCAGTGGGAAGTGCCGTCAGTGTGAAGTGCTGTCGGTGTGAAGTGGTGTCCCATGTGGTTTTGATTTGAATTTCCAAATGACCAGTGATGTTGAGCATCTTTTCAGGTGCTTATTGGCCATTTGTGCATCTTCTTTGGAGAAATGTCTATTCAAGTCCTTTGTCCTTTACCCAGTTTTGGATTAGATGGTTCATCTTTTTGTGATTGAGTTGTTGGGTTACAGAATTTTTATTTGAATGGAGAATAATAACAGAAATGTCCCCTGTATACATTTTCATTATATCAGTCAAAAGGATGAGATTGTCTCACATACAGCATGATTTTAAAGAAAGAAATGAGCTCAAGTTCTTGGCCCCTACAATTACATCTCCCTTAAAAGAAAATAATTTCTATTTAAGTCATGATGAGTATGAACTAATATGGTTCAAAGCTGCATGTTGATGGCTCCCTGACTGTGATGTGGACACATGTGCTCATGGTCATACATCCATCCCTCAGCAGCTGGCTGGTATCTGCAGGAATTTACTGAGAAGTCTCTGGTCCTCTGTGGCCTGCACAAGTCTCTCCTCATCTTTTATTTCCATCCCCGTATTCCTTCCCTCAGCACTGGGCATGGCTGGCTTTGTCCAGTCCAGCCCAGAGGAAAATGACTCGTAGCACAATCCCACAACAATCACCAAACAGCAGTGCTCACGCCTGCCCTTGAACCCAGTACTCTCATCATGTTGGAGGAACCCCGTGAGTAACAAAGGGGGGTCCAGTCTACAAACCAGCTGAATGTGCATATCTGTCTGTCTGCACTGCACATGCAGACAGACTGCCTCGATCTCCCAGGCAGCCACAGATGGCTAAGAATGAGACATGAACACTCATTGGCATCAACCACTCCATGGGGTCACATTCATTTGTGATTGAGCCAGACACATGAGACATTTATAAGTGTTGGCAAAGTGAGAGCCATTAGTATTTATAGAAAGTGAAGAGTGGATGGCACAATAGATTCCCAAAGAAGAAACACTTACCCTTCCCCAGATTAGCCAAGTACATTCTCAAATTGCTGGGCAGACATGTTCTGATTCAGGTCAGATGCTATGTTCATGTCACCGCTACCTCCAGGTACCACCATGCTGTTTGGGGGCCTGTCTGAGTCTGGGATTTCTGCCCTGCTGCTGGGCCTCGCCTGGCCTCACTACTGGAGGGAAGACCCCTGTGTGCCATCCCCTGAGTCTCTGCTGCTGGCTCCCATGACACTTTCCACCATGCTACCTGGGCCCCCAATGCCCTGCACGGGGCACACTCAGGCCTTTCTTGCCCTGCACAAGCAAAAGTTACAGCTCTTTTACCTCTGCCAACAAGCCTCTTGCCACAGGACAATCTACTCTTGCTCTGTGTGTCAGCAAACCCAGCACACGCTCCGTTCCTGCCATTGTTTTTCACTGTCTTCCACCATCGTCAGTGTTCACTCTTTTTTCTGGGTCTACAAGGTTCTCAGCACAGGGACCTTGGGCTCTTGGTCTACGACTCGCTTGGCTTTAGACTCTTTTTGATGGTAGTGAGTTCTCCCTGACTCCTGGTGGGACTGGCCTTTATATAAGCAGACTCCTTATCAGTTTCAAGGCATGGTTCTCCTAGCAGGATCATAAACTGAGTGACCATAAGTCACTCAACTTGCATGGTTCTAGATGATTACTTTGTGGGAGTCACAAAACAATGATTAGAAAGGCCACACAAAAGTGATTTGTTGCAGCACAACAGCTATTGTAATCGTGTGGTGACTGGGTTCTTTCTAAGCTTCATGGCTACAAAGCTGCGCAAACCCCAGCCAAGATGCAGGGACTATTTGTGAGGAAGCTGGTACATACCCGGCAGGTGGGACATGATGAAGGCAGCCATGCACAGGGTTTCTGGGGGGAGGGATACTGAAGTGTCTTGTAAAAACAACTGCTGTCATGATGATATTTGTATGATGGCAATGCTTTGCAAAGCATGCTCCACAGCAACGATCACGCCAAGTGCATGGAATGTACCATCTTAAGAATTCTCTGAGTTCAGCTGCACAATCTCCATTTTAGAAGCAGGGTAATGGAATGTTGTAACTAACACTCGGTGTGAGGTGGTAATTAACATGCAGTGTGGTGCAGGAACTAATAAGCAGTGTGGGGCGGTAACTAACATGCGGTGTGATGTCGTAACTAACACACAGTGTGGTGCTGTAACTAATATATGGTGTGAGGCAGTAACATGCGGTATGGTGCGGGAACTAACAAACAGTCATACATCAACAGGTGGTGTGGGGCAGTAATTAACACATGGTGTGGGGCAGTAACTAACGTGTGGTGTGGGGCAGTAACTAACATGCAGTGTGATGTGGACACTGAATTTTCCTTCAGTTAACTGTGCTGACAGCCACAGTCTTTCATTCTACCCTGTGCTGCCAAACCACATGTGTTGTCACCTGTGGATATGAACTTGGGAGCCTGAAAGTACCCCTTAGACACCTGGAAGGCGCAGGATGATCTGTGTGAATGTCAGGTTGGGAGATGAGTTTGTGCTGCAAGGACAGCTCTCCTCCTGATACCCAGACATGTGCTGGAAGGCTACACACACAGAGGGTCACTCATGTGGGGCAGGGCTGAGGCTAGGGTTTCACCTAGCGCTCCCAGGGCATGCCGCAGACATCAGTGTAGGCTTCCCGTAGTTTAACTTCAACAGGGAGTCCCTGGGTGGCACAAATGGTTAAGCGCTTGGCTGCTAATGGAAGGGCTGGTGGTTTGATTCCACCCAGGAGTGCTTTGCAAGTGAAGCTTGGCAAGCAGCTTCTAAGAGGCTACAGCCATGAAACCCATGGAGCCCAGTTCTGCTCTGCACAGACGGGTCACCATGGGTCAGAACCGACTCAGCTCGGTGGCATGTCCCCTGCCTCTCACCTATGCACTCCTGGTTCTGAGCAATGCAATGTGTGACCTTCTTTTGAAAACACACCACATGCTGCATGCTGTGCAAGGACTCTTGGGCTCACATACTGCCTCCTGTGATGTGTAAGCCTCCAACAGCTAGATCTGTTATTACCCTATCGTACAGTGGAGAAAACCAAGGCTTAAAGACATAAAGCAATTGCCCAAGCCTGCTGTGGATGTACCTGATTCCAGGTGGTCCAGGTGCCAGGGGTCAGTTGCGGCCGACATGGGGGAGATGGTCAGCGGAGAGGCACCACAGTTGGACTCCACAAGCTGGCCCTGCACGTGGACCTGGGCTGAGGCGTTTGTCTGCCGCAGGGCAGCCTTGAGGGGGGCAATATGGTTGAACTGTACCCTGGACAGGCAGCCGGTGAAGCCCGGAGTGTTGTACTTGTGGATCTCTGGGTCAATCTTCCCTGTTTCTACAAGAAAAAGGAGAAGACATTAGACTCTTATCCAAAAGCTCCAAACCATTCTTGTGGTGTCCAAGACTTACTTCTGGCTGCAGTTTAAGATGTTCTCCAGGGTCAGTGAAAAAGGGGGACCCTATGAGATAGGTGGACCCAGGGCCACAGCAATGGACTCAAACATAGCAATGATTGTGAAGACGGTGCGGGACCGCACACTGGCTCATTCTGTCGTATGCAAGGTCAAATACAGCAGCGATCGTGAACATGGCACAGGGCTGGACACCGTGTTATTCTATTGTACACAAGGTCGCCATGAGTTGGTGCCAACTCTTGGTGGCTAACACCAACTCTCTTAGGTGAAATATTAGTGACTTGGTAAGGCCTGGGGCTGGCAAGTACACTGCTAGGAATCACTGTGCTCCTGAGAGCGTGGTGGGGCACAGAGGATCGGAATGTGTTATTGAAACAGAATATGCTCCGCTGGGATTCTGCTGAGACTAACACACTCAGTTTTGATCAACTCTTCTCTCTTTCTGGAAGCTTCCTTGGCCTTGAGATAAGTTGAATGATGTGCCTGCTAAGTTATGGCTTCGTCTCTTACCCCTTCCTTACTTCCTTCTTCAGAATTCTTCATTTAAAGAAAGAAACAGGAGTTCCTGTGGCCCCATTGTTGGGCACTCCCTTTCTAAGAGCACACACCACCTGGAAAGCTGAGTTGTAAAGTATCTGATGGTTTTAGAAGTCAGAAAATGTTCCCAATTCTATCACAGATGTACCTATGCATTGAGTCACTTCAACGTGTAGGCCCGACATCGTCCTGAACACTCAAACCAGGAGAGCCCCAGCCAAGCCCAATGTCTTGTTTCAGCTCATATGACCAAGCCCTGCCTGGCCAACTAAGCAGTAAAAAACCAAACCAAACTCACTGCCATCATAGCAACCCCCTTTGGGTTTCTGAGGTGGTAATCTTTACAGAAATAGATTGCCCAGTCTTCCTTCCACGGAGTGGCTGGTGGGTTTGAACTGCCAACTTTCTGTTTAGCCTTAGGCCCTACGCTACCAGAGCTCCTTAGCTAAGCAGTAAGACATAGTCTTTCCGACCCTCTGCCCCAGGTTTCAGTGTCTACCCAACAGAAGCAAGCACTGCCACAGCCCTAGGTATCAGTCAGTCATCTGAGGGTGGTCCCAGACCTGCAGCGATCACCTGGCACCTGTGGAAATGCAGCTCCTCAGGCCCCATCCCAAACCCGTGGTTGCTGCTGTGCTCTTGTGTTGAAGCCAACCCACAGCGCCCCTAGAGGACAGAGTGGAACTGCCCACAGGGTCTCCAAGGCTGTCAGTCTTCACAGAAGCAAAGCCCAAACCACACCCAC